TGCAAGAAACCAGATTCAGAACTCACTTTCTCTACCAAAGCTTTCAACCCATCTCTTGCATCTGGAAGAAAGATGTACATGGTGAAACGGGGGATATCTCCACCTCGCTTATAAGGAAGTCCGAGCACTTTGAAACCATCATAGGCACGAAGGTACAGCTTCTTTTTGCTGGTCATAAAGGGCACTTGAACAGAACCTCCATTTGTAAGATGGAAGTCATGGTCTTTTGTTTTCAATGAATCGAATATTTCATTCCAAACTCCTTTGAAGTAAAGTGCATTAGCAAATATGAGCCCGGTCAAACGGTTCACAGACCCTGGAGGAAGAACCTTGTTTAATAAGACCATTCGTCTCCTTTTGCGCCCATAAGTTCACTTCACTCCTCATAAGATCAGCCTTCAAAAAAACCAAAAACATGACAAACAAAAAAAAGTCAATTAGCATATGAATCTCCCCAATAGAAAAGAAAAGGGAATATCGAATAGAAAATATACTAAACAAGATAAGATCATAGTTTAAAAACAAACAAAAATTACAGAGGAGAGCAAATATAATACCTCGGTTTGGTAATCAACTTCATCGGTAGCAGCCTTGTAGACATTCTTCATTATCTGTTTAAAGGAGTGCTTGAGAGGGAGAAACTTATCGACCCAAACACCGTTAGAGAAAGACAAGCGGGGCCCACCCATGGGGCTGCCGTTAGCGAAGACCGCGGATATGATTTCCGAGTAGAAGGAGCTGAGGTGGTCGTTGGACGTCGACTTGAGGAAAAAGGAGCTGGCCGAGGGTGGAACCATTTGAGCCAGCGGCGATGGCGCCCAGCACCACTTGTATAGACAGCGGCGAGAACACCAGGTTGGAGTCCCCCTCGGCTTGGGTAGTGAGAACGTGCTTCGTGAGGCTCAGAGCGACGTCGGTCCGGCTCCTGATCATTTCACGAACATCCATAGTTAAGTCTGAAAAAGAAGAGTAGCTTGAGCGAAGAGCGAAGGATGGTTGTTTTTATAGGGGAAATTCAAACGACCATTGTTGCTTTTGCCGCGTAGCGCAGGAGACTCAAGCTTGCGTGTCAATGGTAGCGTCATAGTGAAGCTTAGAATCGCCATTCTGTTTGTGGACACAAAGCCCATTTCTCATCTCACAATTGGGCTCAAATATGTCCGAAGCTATCTTGCGCCATTGTACGGTTGAACAAACAAATGGGTAAATGATTCTCATGCCAACAACATACAGACAGACAAGCTAAGAGAGAATGACAGGCTTAACTAAACTCTAAATAAGACAATGGAGTGGAGTTCAGCACTCCTCTCCCTTCATTGAAGGCAATCGTTGAACTCATAGAAAATTGAGAGTTAATGTCATCTTGTCATTGCCTACTGTCCATTGACAAGCACAAATTGCTGTGTTGAATGAAAACTGCTTGCAGAGATATGGTATAAAATTAGATCGCCGGCAGTATGGAATTGTTTTCTTTCTTTTCCCCCGTCACAGATGGTGGATGGCTGGACCACTTTCAGAAGTTGAATATTATAGTACCAAATTTTTTTGTCAAGGTTGCAGACTCCAAAATGAAACATGGTGTAATTGTCAACCCAAAACACGTTTTTTTAAGAGTATTATGGCTTTAAACATTGAATGTCAGTCGCTGCATTATCATCACAGCCATCGTGTTGAACATTATCTTAATAATTCAGAACAAAATGATTACAACTTCGAACATACATTTAATATCATTACCTCTGCATAGCTTGTTAGGTTGATTGTTCCAGACCAATATGTGGGAACATCTGTCCTGGTCAAATACTATATTCCTGTGCCATGAATTCTGCTTGAATTATGGACATCCTTCGAATTATAACATCAGACATGTTGCAAATTCTTTGAATTTCCTATGGTATTAAACCGCCTAGCAATTTATTAAAGCCAACATGCATGCGTATATCCAATGTAATGGTGTCTGAATTTTTTAAGAGACCGCAATGTTGCAGACAGCTCCAAATGTTTTGTACCTACCTGATTCGTTCCTGCGCTGAGTATGAAACATAAAGTTGTCTCAATCTCCTCTAACGGAAATTATTTTCAGAACAGTAGCTAATGCCTGCGTCGAAGTCCAACGCCAATTGTGTATTAATTACTGCCCAACGCCAAGGATCTGCTGGATTCCCTGGCATCATGACAACAGGTAAAGGTGTTTTTTTATGCCTGAAATTGAGGGCGATAGCACTGTTTGAGACGTGGATTACTCATCCATGAACAGAACTGATCTATATTATTGAAACTTGTCAAGAACTTATTGGAGGATTTGGAGTTAAAGAAAGACAGTCCTAGCTAACTCCATCAGTAAAACAAAGAAACCCCATTTGTAAGAAAGCATCTGAAAATTTAAGATTCCGCTCGTTAAAATATCATGGAGTCCAAAAATATTAAAAAAAAATCCATTGAGAGAGAAAGGTATGATAAAAAACAAAAATATTAGAGAACATTTTCAAAACATCATGTCTTAGGATTTTTTTTTTTTTGGTCTTTAGGTAACATTTGTTTTGAGAGAATTGAGAGTACATTCTTGTAATATGTTCAATTAAATTATATTATTGTGTTTATTTTGTAACAGACCACTGTAATATAATATTGTAATACAATACATTACAGTCAAGGGATGTAATGTGATTGTAGTTCAAAACCAATACAATCACATTATATTATACTCTGTAATGTTATTAAAAATATTTTTATATTTTAATTTTATTACTTTATTAAAAATATTTTATAATGTTATAATTAAAATAAAATATATAATATAAGAATTAGAAATTAAAATAAATTAACATTTATGTAATATAGGTAAAATAAATGAAAATAAAATATATAAGATTATAATAAGAAATGAAAATAAAATATATGACATTAAAAATATATTTAAGAGATGATATTATATAAAAATTAATAATAAAAAATATAAGTATATTACACTTGCATTTAATAAATAAGCATAATTTTGAATATTAACATTATATTTTCAACAAAGTACTTGTAAACCAAATACTTCACTATTATCTTCCTTGCATTTTAATTATTATTTTACTTGTATATCAAACACTATAATGTTATTTTTTCTGTAATAACATTGCTTATAATCACATTACTTACAATAACATTATATTATAAAGTACTAAACACTATCTTCATTCTTATTGACCTTTAGTTGCAAATGATATCTCTCTCTCTCTCTCTCTCTCTCTCTCTATACACACACACACACTCAAACAAGTTAAAATTGTATCTTAAAGGCCAATCTTTTGTTAAGACGTAATGTTTCTATTTACTCTCTTTTGAGCCAGAGAAGATAGGAAGCTAGCCTTCAGCATAATGGTAAGTAGTGGCAACTTACTGAGGATAATGTAGACATTTGCCACCACCCTTCTTTTATTGGTCATCCCTTAATTGTTTTATTTGCTTCAGTAGGCTAATTAGTTTCTTCTGTTATCACCTAATAGGGCATATTTAGTGATTTCATAAGCCAAGCCACGTAAGAAACAAGACTAGGAGGAAAAAGGGCTACACTTTTTGTCTACGGTAACCATTCCTTCTTTTTTTCCCCTCTTTAGAAATTTGCTTGTTTTGTAATGCCTTTCACTCTTTCCTTAGCTATTTTTAATTGTGATTTCTTGCAGCCATGGAAAGACTAGAGAATGTGGCATTTATCTCCAATGCCATAAGCCTGGTAATTTACTTTTACGACTTCATGAACTTCAACTTAACAAAATCTACAACCACCTTTACAAATTTCATGGGGACTTCATTTTTACTAGCACTCTTTGGAAGGTTCATCTGTGACACCTACTTGTCAAGATTCAAGACTTGTGTCTTGTTTGGGTGCATAGAATTGCTAGTAAGTCATTTATCATCCTCATATTTTGTTGACGAAGCTAGTATAAACGAATAACTTGTCCACCAGTCAAACTGATTGAGTGCCATAGCACTTTCCATTTGCTACCTTAGTTAGTTATCTGTGCATCAAATCCATAATTTTGGCTAAAGGAAACCATGAAAAATGTAGCAACCTAACAAATTTATAAAGAAAAAAAAACATATAACTCTATTGACTAAATTAATTAAGCACAAAAAATCACCAGTTCTTCGATGTAAATGGAAACTAATCCCGAATAACTTATGTTCTCTTTCATGATGATCAAATTAAGAATTTAGTCCTCTAGTAATCTAAGATTTGGTTGATTCATAAATTTGTAAGGATATGCCTTCTTAGCATTACAAGTGTACTTCCACCGACTAAGACCAACCCCTTGCTAAGGTCTTGCTCCAAGCTGAACAAATCAATTCCAGGTTGTAGATAGTAGCCAAGTTGCAATACTTTTTATTGGTGTATACTTTGTTGCTTTTGGCACCAACGTGGTTAAAAGAGCTTTACCATCATTGGGATTTGATCAATTTGATGAAAAGGATCCTCAAGAATCAGCTCAATTGTCTAGTTATTTCAACTAGTTCTTTCTTAGTTTCACCGTTGGAGCTATAGTTAGGGTGACTTTCATCGTATGGATAATCTCAAATCAAGGTTGGGATTGGGTGTTTGGTGTATGCACCGTGGCGGTCTTGTTTGCCCTTGTGTGTCTAAGCATGTGCAAGTCATTGTATCATAACAATGTTCCCAAAGGGAGTCTTCTCCTTCGTATTATAAAGGTAAGTAGTATTACAAAAAGAAATTATGCTTATTAATAGGTCAAAGATTTCATATATGATCACAATTTCATCTTGATTACTCAAAAAATAATAAGAATCCTTACTAGAATTCGATATCTTCAACAAATTGGAGTTGGACTGGTGCTTTCAGCCATTTCCATGGCAGTTGTTGGAATTGATGAAACATGGTGCAAATCTGTGGCCATTCAACACAACATGGTGGATTCTCTTCAGCCTCCGCCGATAAGTGTGTTTTGGCTTGGATACCAATATGCTATATTTGGGTTGGCCGACATGTTCACTTTAGTTTGGTTGTTAGAGTTCTTCTATGCAGAGAGTTCAGCAAGGATGAAGTCATTGAGTACAGCCATCTCATGGTGTTCACTAGCTTTCGAATACTTCTTGAGCTCGGTGGTGGTGGAGGTGGTGAACAAGGTCAGTGGTGGATGGCTGGCTAATAACAATTTGAACAGAGACAAGCGCAACTATTTTTACTGGTTATTGGCAGTGGTGAGTATGGTGAACTTTGGTATCTACTTGGTTTGTGCCTTTTGGTATATGTACAAGAAGGTGGAAGTCGTGAATCAAGAAGAAAATAGAAAATCCGTCAAGGGAAAATAGCTTGAGATGGTGACAAGTTAGAATCACTAGGTGTCTAGGTCATTCGACCTTATTTACATAAATAAAGTTAACATTAATTATAAAAATAAAACCCTAAAGATTGAATCAAATGGGAGAAAAATAAAGTGAGTACTCCTATTAATTTGCTAACATCACCATAATTACTAGCCATGAATTAAGACCCAAATTGCAAACAAATTTTGAGATTGCAACAAGAGGTACAATTAACAGCGTCTCAAATTTATATAACAATTAAGTGTTTAGTATCGTGTGCATTGTACTTATAAAGCGATAAAATGTTGATACATTGAAAATATGATCCGTCAAATCCTTGTATTATTATCTGTAATTGAATATATTTACTTTGCTTAAAAAACACTTCAAAATTATATAAAAAAGTTTAATATACCCTTCACAGATAGAAGAACATGTGATTGTGCATTGCAATAATGCCATAAATGGGGCTAGCCTTTAAACTAAACCATGGTTTCATGCTTCATGTCTATCTTTAAGGCTTATAAAACATTGACCTGCATGAAGATGCATGCTTCCCCATTCAAGGGGCTGACATTCTATACATTTAGTAACGATGTTGTCGCCTATAATCAATGTTCCTTCTTACAAAATGAAAATCATAATTCTACGGGCTGAAAAGGTATAAAAGAGAAACTATTATCTATGAACAGGAATCGTTGAATAAACCCATAACATAAGAAAATATGCTAGGGATTCTTATCTCCTATAATTATATATTAAAAAAGAGATTGTTTATCCTTTTTACAGAAGTGAGTGACAGTTCCTTACAAGCATTACAAGATAGCATGAAGAGTATCTTCGCGTGACACACCAGACTTCGTTTATTTGTCTATTAGATGATTCGACTCTGTCGAAATGTATAAAAATCATTTTAAAACTATTTTATTCTCTAATTTTGTTTCAGATTAAGTGGTTACATATTACAAGTTTGCACATAGTATCTATGAGCTCCATGAAAATGGGTACTCTAAAAGAATATCATGTTACTACTAAGAATGGTAACCTTAAGATTTGGGGTCCTCAACACAAACATTTTCTTGTTATAAAAATTCAAAAAGAGCACCTCTAAGAGACTAAAATCTCTTTAAATTAATCATCGAAGATGCTTGTATCTTCATATATACTTTAAAATGTATATATTAAGTGTGAAAAGGTAATGGTTGAATGGACATGGAGCGAGAAAGCACATGTCGGGAAGATAATAATAATAATAATAATAATCTTATTATTCATTTATTCCTTAGTCTTTATCGAAGTGTAATTAAAGGTACAACATATATATAATTTTATACAAAGTAATCCTTGAAAACCCTCATGAATTCGCATCAAGAACAAGTCAAGGCGAGGAAGTGGGTATTAAATTAAAAGGCAAAAAGGATGATTGGAAGGTTGTAAGTTAACAAATGAATGGAAAAGAAGTAAGTACAAAGAGAGAACCCTAGGAAAGAGTTTTATAAGAAGATAGAAGGCATTGGATCCAGATCCACGGCCATTAGAATATCCACCGCATCGTCGAGTCAACAAATAAAGTGGAGCACACTCATGAGGGATAAGCTGTTCATATTTGGGAGAAAGGGTCTCGTGAGGGGAAACAAAGACTAAACAGAAAATTAATTTCTCGTACAAGTAGATGCCACTTGTTTCCTTGTTGTTTCTCTTGTTAAGATTTACTTAGAATAATGTGAAATTAAGGCTTTTCATTTTTATTTTATTTATTTTGTAATATGATTGGAACTATTTTCGGATTTTGCTAGCTCTAATTTTCTTTCAAGACGATTATAAAAGTATACTTTCTCATATTGACAAGAGACATTCAAGATTTTACTTATCAATAGAATTAATCCGTATTCATAATTTAATTTTAATATATAATTGAATAAAACTTCATCCAAGATATGTCGACTTGAGTTTTAATGAATATGGCCAAAATTTAGTGATAATTCTTAATATATAAATATATACATATAACTTTCACTACACTCAAATATTTATAATACTGAGAATTATTACATTAATACTCATGTAATACACATCCTAATAGTTTTCAAGCTTAAATTTTAGGGTATAGGGAATGCCAAATAATAATAATAATAGTCACATGAAATCGCTGAGAAAAAAAAATAACCACATGAAACTCCACTACATTAATTCCAATAAAATATATGTACTTGTAAACCAAAAAATGTTATAATAATGTGTGAAGTAATTAGTAGCAATTGACTACCAAGTGATTATTATGACCAGAAACAATATATTTGCCTGAACCAAGTTGAATTTTAAAATTTAGCAAAGTTTATTACGGATATACAGAGAGGGTTGTTGTGAAGCGAAGAAAAGGTAAAATGCTGGATACTTGTGCTTATATATATTCATAGGGTTTGATGTGGTTATGTCCCCACAGACGCTGACCCAGAGCCAACGTTCCCTTTCTGGTTTTTCTTTTGCATCCTGGAATTAAGAAAGAAGAAGAAACAAAGTTAGCTCTCAGAGCGAAAATGGTAAAATCTTTCCTGATTTGAATTTCGAGATGGTCTTTGAAAACGCTCAAGAAATGTGGTGTGTGTGTGTGTGTGTGTTCTCCATGAACAAAATGTGGAGAAAGCTGAGCCCACCTGCACCCTTGCTTTTATCTCTTTCTCACTGGCTAATCTGTGTCTTGTGTCTCTATACAAACAGGAAATCCATGGAGAAGATAAACATCAACCAAGGCAAGAGAAAAGGGTAGGAGGATTGAAAGCTGTACTTTTTGTCTATGGTAACCACGATATTGCCCTAACCTGTCTGCATTTGATTAGTTAAAAATGGTCTCTGTCTCTGATTGTGGGTGCTTCATTCATGCAGCGACGGAGGGGCTGGAGAACATGGCGTTTATTGCCAACGCCGTGAGCCTTGTGACTTACTTTATGGGGTACATGAACTTCAGCTTGACAAAATCTGCAAACGCAGTCACAAACTTCATGGGAACTTCATTCATCCTAGCATTCTTAGGAGGAGTCATAGCTGACACCTACTTGACAAGATTCACAACCTGTGTCCTGTTTGGATTCCTGGAATTGCTGGTACGTTGTCTTATCATCCTCTCACTTTCACATAGGGCTCAACATCTGCCCTTCTCGACCCCTGGTTTCCTGCTTAAACATCATATATTATACACTTCTGCTCTCTTGTTCTACCCTCTCTCCAATTCCAGGGTCTTTGGCTTGGATATTGAAATGATAATCTTGTAAATGGAGTTGGTTGATCAATTAATAATCAAAACATTTATAACTTTAATCATTACTATTTGGAATTCCAAATTTATTGGATAATATAATAAAAAAGAAATCATTTCATTTTCTTCATCAAAAGTTTCAAACAAGAACTGCTTCCCACTCAATTAAGCATCAAAACTATTTACTAAAATTGTTTGGAATTTTAAGGTTAATTTAGGGTTCCAATTTTTTAGTTAATACTAGTAAAATTTTGGGTTCAATATCATATTGGGGAAATCTTTTTTCTCTACAAGCTGTTCCATATATTTGTATCAATTTCAAATTGCTTAAAATCAAACAAATGCTTAATTATATAAATAAAATTAAAGAAAAGCTTGAAACTAATTATTGCTTGAATTACATAATAATATGTAAACATGGCACTAATATGTAATAATAATAAGCAAAATTCATTGCTTGAATTATATAATTAAAAGTAAAAGTTATTGCTTGAATTAAATAAGAATAAAATTTATTGCTTGAATTATATAATAAAAAGTAAAAGTTATTGCTTGAATTATATAAGAATGAAACTTATTGCTTGAATTATATAATAATAAGTAAAGGTTACGAAATTATATTCTGATGTTGATTTAAGGGAAAGAAATACTACTAGTCTCTTTCAAACATGGCACTACTATTTTTTTTCTAAGTAATTTCTATGTATTAATTTCTAATTGAGTCTAGTCTTGAGTTTGTTAATGTTGTAAACCATTACTCTATATGATATATATTCCTCTAATCCGTAGGGAAAATATATATCATCGATTAAATTATCGAAACAACAATTTGACGAAAAGAATAAAATTTCTTATATAACTAAGGTAGGTACTAAACTTATTTTAATAAAAAATGTGTCATCATGGCATTGCATGATTTTTCGTCTAGTCCTCTTTATTCTTTAGTCTTTAATTTTATGATCGCGATATACTAAAGTAAACAATTAATATAAAACAGACCCATTTTAGGAGATAAAATGTGGATTATAATTATCTTACTTATCTAAATTACTATATTTATAATTGGTGGGATTAATTTTTTAAGCAACTGAGTGTGATTGGGGCTCACCCCCAATCTGTTAAGTTTTAGATTGGAGATTAGGGTATTTGAATTTGAAATCTCTTTTCAGTTTGGAGATTAACATGTGTGGTGATTAATTGATGCCATGTCTAAACTATTATTTAATACTAAAAAACAATAGTATGGTTCTTTCAAGGAAGATATAGTACGAGAAAGAAGATGATTATGATTTCATAATACTCCAAAACAAAAGAAAAGAAAGAAAAAACATTACAAAAAGACCAATCCTTAATGTTGTTCCATAGTTTAACCATCCATGTGCAGCTTGCCGGCTTCCACATGCTCCCACGCAATATAACAATGGCTTCGTTTTGGTAGTCACCTTCCTTTGGTCCCATACTATCTATTCCAAGGAAGATGGCTGTTACTGCCATTTTTTAATATTAAAAAAAGAGCCCAATTTCATGGAACAAACGGACATACAATGTCTTCGGTTGTATATACGTAACTGTTTGATGATCAATCAAATTTTAAGATGTTTTGGAAAAGCTATGAGTGAGCAAACTTGAGCTGGTTCTTACATATGCAGGGATATGCCCTGCTGACAATACAAGCACACTTCGATCAACTGAGGCCAACTCCTTGCACGGATGTTTCGAAACAATGCGAGGCTGCAAAGAGTGGCCAAGCAGCAATTCTTTACACTGGTCTATACCTGGTAGCTCTAGGGACAAGCGGGGTTAAGGCGGCCTTGCCATTGCTGGGAGCTGACCAGTTCGACAGAAACGACCCTAAAGAGGCAGCTCAACTTTCAAGCTTTTTCAACTGGTTCATGTTTAGCTTGACTGGTGGATCTATAGCTGGTGTGACCTTTGTTGTGTGGATAAGTTCTAACAAGGGTTGGGATTGGGCGTTCGGGGTGTGCGGTTTAGCAGTCTTGCTTGCAATTATGTCTGTATGGATTGGCAAGCCATTTTATAGGGATAATGCCCCTCGAGGAAGCCCCATAATTCGAATCCTACAGGTACATGTCATGTCTTTTGCCATCATAAATAGTTTTGCATGTAAGAATTAATGACATGAGTTCACGAATCATGGCCCTCTTTTCCTGTTTCAAGGTATTTGTGGCTGCCATCCGCAACCAAGACCTTCCAATACCAAAGAAGGAAGATGAACTACATGAGATTTATGACAAAGGAACACTGGTGATGCCTAATGAAATTCTTCAGAGAACCAATGAATTCAGGTATCCATTTAAATTTTCTCAAGTTTCTTTTGTTTTAACTAGCTCTCACGTAAATACATCACCAAATTCCCAGATTCTTGGATAGAGCAGCAGTGAGTAGGATCCCGTTGGGTGAATCAGCAGTACCTCCAGGACCTTGGAGGCTTAGCACAGTGACCCAAGTTGAAGAAACAAAGATTCTACTTCGCATGCTCCCGATTGTACTTAGCACTCTTTTCATAAATACTTGCTTGGCTCAACTCCAAACTTTCTCCATACAACAAAGCATGACCATGGATACCCACATCCTTGGTTTTAAGATCCCTGCTCCCTCCCTCCCTGTCATTCCCCTGGGGTTCAACTTCATTTTTTTACCAATTTATGACCGCATTTTCGTTCCAATTGCCCGAAGAATGACAGGAATTCCCACTGGAATCCGATATCTTCAGCGAATTGGAGTTGGATTGGTGCTCTCAACCATTTCCATGGCAATTGCTGGAGTCATGGAAACCCGGCGCAAATCTGTGGCTGTTCGACACAACATGGTAGACTCTACAGAACCACTGCCAATGAGTGTGTTTTGGCTTGGATTCCAGTATGCTGTATTCGGGTTGGCTGATATGTTCACATTGGTAGGGCTGCTAGAGTTCTTCCATGCAGAGAGCTCAGCTGGAATGAAGGGAACGAGCACAGCTATCTCATGGTTTTCACTAGCATTTGGGTACTATATAAGCTCAGTGGTGGTGGAGGTGGTGAACAAGGCCAGCGGGGGTTGGTTGGCTTCTAACAACCTGAACAGAGACAAGTTGAACTACTTCTACTGGTTATTGTCGGCGTCGAGTGCTGTTAACTTTGTTATTTACCTGGTGTGTGCCTCCCGGTACAAATATAAGAACGTGGAAATGAAGCGAGAAGAAAACCCTTATGCTGGTAATACCATGGACTAGGATTTATGATCAAAGGTTTCCCCATGCAATTGTTCCTATATTGATGTTTACGTACCTATATTGAGTGGTTGATTTACATGAATAAAGAAACAAAATAAGAATCACCAATTCAAAATATGGCTTGAGTTCAACTTTTATAGATACAAGATAATTGGGGTAAGGAGGGAGAATAATCTCTAAACAAACAGTTTGAGGTGCATCTTTGCCTAAAATTAGAAGCTTGACCTGCTGCCTATAATACAAGTTAACATGAAACAGAGATCCTAATATTGCTGTTATTGTACAGTAAAGGAGTAAAGGCAATGCAAATGAGTGGAAGTTCTTTCACCACTCCCTTCTTTTTTCTTTGTAATTACAATTTACAACACCAATCAAGGATGCTTTCCATGTAACTGACATGCATATCTTACACACGAGGAATGGACAAGATGACTGATGGCGCATTGCATTGATCTGTAAACTTCACCTGAAATAAAACCATCTTACGAGGTTTTCCACTACCATTTGACATCCAGTGTCAAAGCCTCAGGAGGGACAAGAATAGATGGGAACTTTGTAAAAGAAATGTTTGACAACAAATTACTCCATGAGACTGTATCTACACCAACAAAAGGTCTGACCTTCTTGATCATAAGGGGCTTCAACTTCTCTGCTTCAATCCTTGCCGTTACATCAAACCAAAGGTGTTCAACAGTTGGCTTCGTCCTCCATTCAGCTAACATACCACGAACACTCTCATTCTTCCCAATGTTTTTCTCCAGCTCTAGCTGGAAATGAATAATGGGTGACGCTTTAGTTTTCACATTAAGAGAACTGGAGAAACCATTTCCATTGTCTCTGTCACCTAAAAAGGTCCTGAGGACCTTTTGTAGCTTGGATATCCTCAAACTTATTGAATCCATAGGATAAGACTGTTTCATGTAAGCGCGATCACCATAGCACTTTTCGGGTAGCAGCTCAATAGTATCCAAGGATGGGAAAACAGCTTCGATGTGGGCATCAGGGTTTCGAGTCCGGTAGGCAACAAGAGATACCGACCCTAAAGCATTCACAGGAAGCAATGGCATGCAGAACGAATGCCGGAAGGACCAATATCCAGTTTTCTCCTCGACTTCACTTTCATTCACAGGCAAACCAAAACTAAACGTGTGGAAAAGAGAGATTTCTTGAGCTCCACTTACTTCAACAGTGATGCCTTCACCAACAAGGACCCGCTTCAGATCTGTATGAGATGTGTTCAGCTGATTGCCAAATACCCAAAGCTTCAGACTACTACTAGTAGATGATAAACATTTGCAATGTCGAACTAAATTAAGAAAGTACATAATTCAAAATCAAACATTAAATTAAGCTACAATAAAGATAAGACATTTATTGTTGATGATACGTATTAATTGAACAACAATAACAGAAAAGAAGCCTTCTTTCAAACAAGTCAAGCATTGAAGAAAACAAGCTAATGAGGAAATCAGAATAAAAAGCATTGCATACCGGTAAAAGGAGGGAAGCTTTGTGATTGGGAGCGAGGCGTAACTCAAAGGGACCTTCCATTTTAAAGGAATCGAGCACCGCTGTGGAATTAATTTCCTTGACGAAATCAAGGAAATCGCCGCCACTTCCTTTTCTGAACGTGCCCCGGGAAGATACTTCGTCGGGGAATTTGAAGAGCAGATGAGTCTTTCCAAATCGGATCCGAAACTCGTCTCTTTTGCCAGCCCCAAACCTAGCCTTGCTCACTTCCAATTTCGAAAAGTTAAGCCCTTCCAACTCCCATTTATGCTTCAAAGCAATCTTCTCCAATACATCCTATAACAAAAACGGGGAGATTAATGAGAATTAAAAACTAGATTTTTTTTTTTTACCACTCGATTTGATCTTTTTACCTGCAAGATTTGGGGGTTGTTTGATTGGAGAGGATTAAAAGACAAGGATAAGATCTCAGAGAGAAGGAAGAAGAGGAGAGACAAGAGGAAACGGCTGCTCTTCATCGTGGCGGTTGTTGCTGTTTCGCGGCGCAACCGGGACTTTACTGTGAACCGGATCAAATGAGTCAGTCACTCGCTCTCTTTGAACAAGGATTCTGGCGAAATGACGGTTATGGGCTTGTGGCCCCGAATCCCAGTTGGCGGTGATTTCATCGTCACGTTAAACGGGCGGTCGGGATTGGGATGGGTAGTAGCACCTAGGAACATTCGTGGGTACTTGCAAGGAAAGCTTCCTAAACTGCCACGTAGTCTTTCTTTTATTTTTACAAATTATACATAATATTTTTTGAAAAATTTAAATTCTTTTATCAACCAACTTATTTCACCCACACGTTAAATATAAAAAAATAAATAATATTTTAATTAATAATAATATTCGATGATATAATTTTTTTATTAAAAAATAAAAATATATAAATTTAATTAAATATAATAAAAAATAAAATACAATATTTCCCAAGCTTTTTCAATTTTTTTTCTTTCTTATTCTTCTTTGTTTTGATCTTCCAAAGATTAGTGAAGATTGTGGCTAAACTGCAATTACTAGTGATATTTCACATAACTCAAATGTTTTAAGTATTGTTATTGGATGTATTAATAAACGGGACAAGAATTGTGACTTGTCACATCTTATTTTTATTACATATGAAATGAAGTTCAAGCATTTAAATATGCCAAGCAACCAACAGAAAGTTTTGTTGAGAAGTACAAGTACATTTAATATCAAAGGCCTTAAGCATGGTTGTTGGTATCATCAAGCCTTCCCTTTCCACATTCAACAGATCATCCGCCGACCAAAACTAAGAATCTGAATGTACTGCCTCCAGCTTTTCCCCTTTCTTCTACCATCAAATCTGACCTGCTTCCTTCCAAATTTATCAACCACCTTAAGACCTTGGATCCTCACTTCAGTTCATTTCATAAGGGCAGCCCGCATTCTAGAACGCAATAAGAATGATATAAGCACCAAAATGAGATAAAGCAAGATACCAGATATTCTTCCAAATCCTTGTCAATGTATATTTGACAATATGATTACAGGAAAAAAATGTGCAGGTGGCCAACATTTGGCCATCAACAAAAGATACACACCAATGAATATGAAGAATTGATTATCCATCTTAAACCATGTCCAAGGACATGAAAATGAAGTTCGATATTCACAGATGCTCAACATGAGCCACTTAAGTTAAGAAATTCGTTATCTCAGATGTCAAGAAACTGCTACAGCAATCTTCCCCACATGTGGATCATGTATAGTATCTGAAACCTTGGAAGGAGGCCAATAGCGAAATACAGATCTACCAACAATGTTTTCGATGGGAAGTGGACCCCTAAAAAAGAAGGTAACAAAAACAAGATGTCAGATATAAAAGATCACATTCCTAAAACAAGAAAGGGACACCAATTAAAACTCTGTAAGGTTGCCAAAGTATGCTGCATATTTTTCTTCTATAGTTTGTCCGATACATTCCCGAATAGTGGAAATGAAAACTTGGAATTACCAGTTATGGGAATCAAAACTGTTATTGCGATTATCTCCCAATACGAAAACATAACCTTCGGGCACAACCTGCAAAATCACCCAAAGGAAAGCATGAATTCTGCTAACCAATGTGATTGACTCAGTGACCATGTAACAAGCATGATGAGGAACCGGAGATAAAGATAGATATGAACAAAGTGCAATATACAAATGAATAAACAAGGACGGTCAGAAGTAAGACACTAACCACTGGATCCATTTCATAAGCTAATGGCTCTAGAACAAAATCTTCATCTTGAGTAACACCATTGATGAACAGCTTGCCATCACGAACCTACCACAAATTGAATATGGAATATCAGAAATGATGAACAATATACAATTTACAGACAGAGGCTAAATGGGGAAAAGTGAAATAAACGGAAGTAAAGTGAAGATGAATAAAGACCTTGTATGTTAAACAAAATGAATTTACATAATCTTATGGGCTTACTTCAACACAGTCTCCAGCCTTCGCCACTATTCTTTTTATAAACACATCACCTGAACTGAAACCAATTTCCTACATATTGAAATAAAACAATCGGCAATGAAGACTGCAGATAAGCAATGATATTCGAGTTTGAAAGAGCAAATTGTAAGACCTACCTGCAAGATAGGAGGTGCCCTGAATATAACAATATCAGAAACTTCAGGCTTTCTAAAGAAATATGAAACCTGTTGATATCAGAAAAAATAAACAAAATTAACCACATAATCTCGATTCTATTGTCCATTAAGATGATTCAGTAAAAGATAATTACCTTCTCAGCCAAAACGCGGTCGCCAACATCCAAAGTAGGGTACATAGAAGTTGACGGAATTGACTTTGGCTCAGCCATAAACGACCGGAAAAGTATACTTACAGTTACAGCAGTCAAAGCAGCCTTGGCATCTTCGGAGCAAACATTTAGCAACCTCGAAATCCAACTGCTTTTAACAAACCCTTTGGGATCCAACTCCAAACTCAAACTTCGATCCTCATTACTTGTTCCTCCTCTATCCACCTCACTACTCTCCGGTCCGCCCGAAGCCGGTTCATTATACAGCAGCCACTTCGATCCCTGCAAGAAAGAGATGATCGAAGTGGCTTTAAAAGGAGAAATTCCACAAAGTCCCATTGTAGTAGCCGAGGAACAAGAACCATAAGCAGTTGACTTCATCAGCGAGATCAAACCAACGATAATCGGGTTATTGCAACCATCTTTAAGGATCTCTGCGGCGAGGGTCGAGTACATGCTCGACCGCGGTGGCGGAGATCGGCGGCGTGGTAGTTACGGGCAGGGGAAGGATCGATGTCGGATTTTTGTTGGGGGAAAGGAAACGGGATCGGAGCCAGCATTCGTGGACGGATCGGGAAGAGCAGGATCCGAGACGGAAACCGGCGTTGGAGGCTAGGTTCTGGGCAACGTAGCCGGAGTAGGTGAAGGTGACGCGGATAGCCATATTGAGCAATTGGATAATAGATTAAGATTTGGTAAATTCTGGGTTCGGAAAATAAGAGGGTTGCTCTTAGGAACCCTAAAAGCAAATGAAAGCCATTTTCGATGAAGCGATCAGTGAACGAGAGACGGAAGCGATGAATCGGGGTGTTGGGCTAGACCAGGGGAGAGAAAGGGAAGCTATTTTAAAGTTGGCTAGGGAAACAGGGATGCCTTCGGGAAGAGACGGTCCAGAGTCCGGAGCAGAGAACCAATCTCAGGTTCGCCAAGGGGATTTGGGGTTTCGGGAGGTAAGGGTTCAACAGCGGCATAGACGAGAAGAGTTGGGGGGTTTATAAAGGGTAGGCGATTATTTTTCGCACTGTCATAGTGGACTGGTTTGTTTCCATATTTACGAAATTACCTGTATATTTTCTAATATAATATTCTAACTAATTTTAATAAAGGTTTTTTTTAATTGATGAAGGGAGATTCAGATATTATTTTTTAAATAAGAAATTATGTATTATTTATTTATTTATTTATTTTGATACAATTTAATTTAATAGGGTTTCTTAGACATTTATTAATAAAATTCTTATAAAAAATATTAATAAAATAATACTAATAAACTAAATAAATTCTCATTTTGGCCAAAAATATTAAAAATAAAAGTTAAATTATGCATTTCATTCTTATACTTTATCAAAATCGTAGATTTCATCTATGTACATAATCTGTGTAAATTTAAATTTTGTACCTTTTTTAATTTATTAATTTAAATTTAAATTTTAATATCATTAAATTTTACTCTTAAATATAAAATTTTGACTGATTTAACATGTAATTAATCAAAATGATATCATTTTTTTTACTAATATAACATTGATTATATGTTAGTGTGATATTAATTTGATTGATAATAAGTTCATTTTGACGTAAAGATTTGTTCCTCATTATTTTGCTCGTGAGTTAAAAAATTATTAATCCAACATTAACAAGCAAGAAATGATTCAATAATGATGTAGAAACACACACAGAGCACATAAATCAATAATGATGTAAATTTGTTGGAGGATGGAGGGTATTTTTGACACCAACTCTCTCATGTTGACTTGAGACAGCCAATGGTGTTTTTTCCTTTTTTTTTCCCATTTATTGTTTCCTTTTTAAGTCCATCAGTCCGGTCTGAACCTTCTTGTGACTTTCCTAGTTCGACCACATCCAACTAACGTGGAAATTTCAACTCACCAAAACGACAACGGAAAAGGCTTGTCTTCCCTCGAAACTTCGTCAAGCTAGAGGTCCCCCGTTATCAGTTACAGGATAATTATTATATTAATATATTAATAAAAAAAGAAAAAAACAAAACAAAACTTTATGGCAGTGATTGGGGAGTGACGTAAGCGCATACCTCAGCTACGAATTCCCCGAATGGTCAACCAACATTATGATCATGTCTTAATTAAGATTGGTCTAAATAATTCACATAATTACTTAGGAATAAATTCATGATTAAGGAATCATTTGTTTACGTCGATCAATCAAATCAGCTCCAGAGATGGAGAGAGAGGCAAAATTTGACTGGTCTTCTCGGACAAATGAATTCACGTTTTAATTAAACTGTCTATTAATCTTAATTTAGTTTCCTAACTTGCCGCAAGTGACAGATCATCTGCTTTAATTAATCTTAATAAGTGCCTTTCAGAATACTGATTAGTATTTATTAAAAATAACAAAGGAAAGTGGGGACAAATTTAATGAAATAAGCCACAACTATACATAATGTCAAAGGAAAAATACTGAAATTTAACATTGATAGACCAATTATAGTCATCTAAGAAGGGTAAGGATTTAAGAGAATTTCTTTCCACAAAACAAAAAATTAATAATGTGAGTCGTGAATATATTTTGAAATCGGATAAACTTCACCTACATCATTTGTAATTTCAAAATTTGTACGTGATGTTTGTTCTCATTGATGATCAAACTTAAATGTGTAAGAGACAGAAAAGTATGCATCTTTGAATCCTTCGTTTATCATGTTCAGATTCATTCGGTTTGGAAAGTCAATGCAACAAAACAGAACAAATACTCTGAACGTTCTCTGCTTGACCACGACATATCCTCAATAGTCATAGCCCACGAGGTGTAGAAACATTATCCAGCTTGGTCTTGGCTGTGACCCAACCCCGTTCGTGGGCTAAGCTGATGTAGGCTGAAGTGATGATGGTTCTTTCAGGTCTGCATACCCAACCCCATGTAGTTCTTCGGCTACTACAGTCCAACCAACTCACTTATAACTCATCAGCAACAAGGAAATTACATGATCAGTTCTTAGAAGAAAGTTTTAGTTCCAAATATTTACTAATTATTCATATTAAAACCTCAATGTGAAAACAATCGGAAGTAAGTCCCCATAAGAAAAAAACGATTACTTAGAAGAAATAAAAGCAAAATAAGGGACGACAGCAATAATTTTCCGCATGGAAATTTCTTTGACAAAAGCTAAGAGAGATTTAGATTACAATAAAGGACAACATGACAATTTCATTTTGTTCAATTTTTGACAATTTTTTTTTTCTTACATTACAATAAAGGACGACAAGAAAATGACATGATTCAAAGTAAGAATCGAATTGCTTTTGTCTTTGTCTTCGTTTTAATTTATTCATTGGCTAAAAATGTAAGTTACTTGCTAATATTAGCACATGTATAAGTGGAGTGATTTGAATGTGGACAGAGAAATTCGGAGGGCATATCCCTAGGAAAAGGCCCAAATTCAACAAAGCCGGTCTAATACTAAAGTGAAGTTTGACTATCTGAATCTCTGCTTAAGGACAGCAAACCCCAACATTTTCTTTTCTTTACTTTTTGATGTTACTCTTATGGGTTCGTTTGGTATCATAGATATAAAACACATTCTATGTAATATGACTTATTAAATTACGTTACAGTATTTGTTTTGTAACAGATCACTGCAAAATCACATTACAGCCAATAAATGTAATACGATTGCAGTTCAAAATCAATACAATCACATTACATTGCACTCTGCAATGTTCTTAAACACAATTTTACCCTTCAATTTTATTACTTTATTAAAAATATTTTATAATATTATAATTAAAATAAAATATATAATATAAGAATAAAAATTAAAATAAAATAAAATATAAAAAATTAATATTTATATAATATAGGTAAAACAAATTAAAATAAAATATATAATATAAAAAATATATTAAAGAAATGAAAATAAAATATATAAAATTATAATAATAAATAAAAATAAAATATATGACATTAAAAATATATTTAAAATATGATATTATATAAAAATTAATAATAAAAATATAAATATATTAAAAATAAAATATAAAATATTATAATAATAAATAAAAATAAAATATATGACATTAAAAATATATTTAAGAAATGATATTATATAAAAATTAATAATAAAAATATAAATATATTAAACTTATATTTTAATAATTAGGGGTACTTTTGACAATTAACATTACATTCTCACTAAAGTACTTATAAACCAAACACTATAATGTTATCTTCTCTGCATTTTAATCATTATTTTGCTTACATACCAAACACTGTAATGTTATTTTCCTTGCAATCACATTGCTTGCAATCACATTACTTACAATCACATTATCTGTAATCGCATTGCATTGTAACGTACTAAACGTCATTATATGTCAAGTTAATTTTAAAGGTGATGGGTAAAGTGGATTTTGTCCTTGTATAATTATGATATTTAGTTAATTTATTGTTTTTATTTTTCTTTTCCTTTTTTAATCTATGATGAGGATGAACTTTTTCATGTTTTGCATGAGTTAAAGAAAGAATTATGAACCTAGCTTAAGATAAAGTCATGATTTTCCATTTAACTAAGGTGCAAAGTGTCACGTCAAGTGTTTTAATTTTATATTAAATAAATAAAAAAATATTAAAAAGCTTATAAACATAGACATGGATAAAATGATTAAAGACGATCAAGATATCGTTAGATTAAGAGATAAATAATATTATATTAAATATATAAAAATATATATAAAGAATTTTAATATAACATACATAAATATAAAATATTATATATTTTATCGAATTAATCTTTTAAGAAAGAGATCATGAAGTTCGAGACATAAACACTTGATCACAAGGAATCCCTTTGACATAATTTTTCTAATGCACTATTGGTGGCATGAGCTGTTCATTGGATTAAAAAAGAACCAATTCAACGGCACCATAGCCAATATTTCATTTGTACCATACATTCTTCAGATACGGAAGAGGAAAAGAAGGCACTAGTGTCGACTCCCGAGTTTCCTTTCGGCGGGGGGAGGGCCAGTTCCCTACCTTCGCTTAAAATTATTTAAAAATATAAATATATATATATATTTGACGGTCCATCAAAAATTAAATGCTAACTAAAACAATACTTTGGGTATTATTATGATGATTAATAGGGTAAAATCTACCGCATGCTTTACCATAAACATAATTAAGCATGCTGCTATTATATAATTACTAGTACTAATCTAATCGTAAGGTTTAAGCTAAGCCATAAATCATATAGTTTCGGAGGCCATGCGCGGTTAATTATCAAAAAGAGGTAAAACATTTGGAGCCACGCCAGACGGGTGGCACGTGGTAGTGTCGGTAAACTCTGACACTTTTCGCCCTTTTT